GAACTGCTTTGAAAGTACCCCTCAGGCTTTGTCAGTTCCTCTGCACTAAGCTGTCCACCTTTTGATGGCATGGGTGACTACCACATGCTGTCCCCCTCTATTCCTTCTCATCTCGAATTTTAATGTTAATGACTTAGTTCTTGATTTACTAAACACTGTTTGGTGGAGTCCTAACCAGATGGTTGCAATACCTGGTTCCTACCTGCCTAACTCCTCCACTTTATTTGTGGCCAACAATGGAAATCCCTGAGCTTTCTTAGTGGAGTACCTCTAGCAATTTAACTTTTCACTGGGTTTTTTTCCAATAGTCCTAGCTATGTCTTTCATCAAAACAGCATTGAGTGTAATTCCTATGTTCTTTTTTCTGCTTTGCCTCTTAACTTCTGTTCCTTAATGGAGGGTTTCTTCGCCAGAAATTGCCCTCAGAGTCTTTCATTGCTGTCTGCATCCCTCCACTGAAATCTGCCTCAAAATGCCAAGCTGCAGATGTCCAGCCTGTCCTTCAACTTCTGTTTTCACCTCTCTGAACCTAAAACTATACGTAAAATACCTGCATCTGAAACAACCTATGCTGACCATCTGCCTGAACACTCTTCTTGTTTCTGCCCTCTCTTCCAAAGCAACATATAACCCCTTATTTATTCTGACTCCAGATCCCAGCTCCTTAACATTCAATTTGCTCAAACACAGAAAGCAATTTGTGCAGCAGCCCAGAAATGATTACATACTATTTAGTTTCACAGACCTTTACTGGATCCTCTTACACTGATGACTGCAAAACTTCCAATCTCAAGATTGCTACTTACGTTCCACTAGCGCCAACTTTATAACTAGACTTGCGTGTTGGTGAAAGAAACTTTCCTCTCTGTTGCCTCCTTCAACTGAAACTGGCTGCCTTTCTCCCATGGTGCTAACAGATCACAACCTCAAGTTCTATCATACTTTTCTTCCTCAGAGTCAGCTTCAGCCCGCACCTGTCTCTTTGTATTTTACTTTTTGCAATTCTTTGTAAATTATGCACTTGCATAAACACACACTTAGGAAAATTAACCCACTTTGTTCACGGTAATTTTGATCTAGGATCCCAAAGGTATGAGCCAATTTGTAAAATAAATCACTGTAGCTCTTTCAGAATTACATATTTCTTTTTTGTTCAACTACATACTTCAGCTAATCTCAAATGCAGGAGAATGCATAAAGCTTAACCCACCTCACAGTTACTAGTAGGTGATAAAAACGCATTATACCCACAAATCACTTTACAAAATTGCTTCCAAAAAAGTGACTTTGTTTCCCAAATAAGTATATTAGTGGTCTCAACATATATCTCTGCAGAGCTTAATAAACCTGACTAGGGCAACTGGGTATTAATTTTCAAATAATTTCATCTGCACAACATTCCTTACTCTATTTTTTTGTGGAGTAATAAATGCCCTTGACCAACTTCTATAACTAGAAACTGATAATATCATCGGATAAAATGGTAATATCTAATCCCTGAATATTTTTTCACAAGTTACTTGCCCTTATTTGTGCCGTCCACGGTAACAAATGTTTTCAAAACGCACGCTAAAGCTTCCATCTAAAACATACAGTCCCATTAAGTATGCAGCTCCTAATTCTTCATGCACAGCTACTACATTTGCCTGGGTAAATCAGTTACTCCGTTTGCACATATGATTCCGGTAACAGCACATTAACATGACAAACTGCAACCAGTGTGGGCTGTTCACTGCAGTGAATTCTTTGCCTGGCTACGACTGCTGCCAAATGTGTTTCTGAACCGCATGGACAAATCCAGACCCTGGTTCATGAATGCCTTGCTATTCAGAACAGCACTAAAAAGCATGCATAACTTAAGCATGGGCTAACCCTGAAATGAATGGGATTTAATGAAGTCAGTGGAAGTTAATCTAATGCTTATACACTTAATACTTTTTAAAAATTGGCTAAGATCTCATCTAACACATATAAAATTAGAAAAGCAAGAAATACGTTATGCTTTGTCAATCTTTCCATGTTTGCATTTCAAGTGGTTCATTATAATTGCCTAAAGAATGGTGCTCTGTCATCTGAAATGTCTGTTCATTACCAGAAATCCTTCCATGTGTCTACTGAATTCCAACAGGTAGAAGCAGGCTAGCATGAGTGTCCCTATGCATGGTGGCAGAAGACAAACTGGGCCCTACTGCTACTTTGTTTATTCTAATATAACATGCCCTGGCTTCAGCAGAGTAACTCCTGTACCACAGTTACAAAGCTGACTTTCCCAGACAGATGAACAGCTGATTGATGTGCTCTCCCCTGTCTGAAGACGAGTACCCTTGCCACAGGGATAAGCAAACAAGACATATCAATCCCTGAGCAGCAGGAGATTACAGTCCTGCTACCAACACAAACTAGCGTTGATCTCATTTTGACATGCCAGGTTGTACAGTGCTGCAGACCAGGGGTTGTAAAGTCTCCCTGTTCTGGGAACAACAACCTGTAGTGGAAGTCCAAAGCAGGCAATGGGGGGCAATAAGTGCCTCAGCCATCCCAAATTAACCTCCCGCTGCCCGTGATTCAATACTGTGAGAGCGAATTAGGCTTCCTAAGTCTGACAGCTTGTAAATACGATGCTAAGGGTATAAACAATTTGCAGGAAGGAAAAAATATTGCCCAGGGCTTGAGGGTAAAATAAAGAAAAAGCAAAAGAGTAAAAAGGGAAAAGTGTAATAGTTTAGAAAGTAAGTATCTCATTGGATAGGTGTCTGGGATAAAATAGCCCTGTTAATTTCCTACCCACCTTATCTTCCCCAAATCAAATGTTTTTTTTAAAAAAAATCTGTATCTTCTTGTCATATAATTTTCATGTAAACTGATGACTTAGAGGCCATAACTCCAAGTCATAACCTTGCCAAAATTATTTCAAGAAATATATTCAGCTAACCTTTGGGCTGGCACCTTAGGCTGGCTATTCTCTGCCTTAAGACGTAGAACGCTGCAAAACAAATAACCAAAAACGAAATTCCAGCTGTTTTTTTTTTTTTTTCCTGTAAGGAGGATGGACTTGGCTGGGGTTTTTATCAACTTGTTACATTCCCGGAGAATTACACACATTCAACATTCAGAGCTTTTCTGAAAAAAAAAAAAAATTCTGGTACACATTTAAAAGTGGAAATACCTTACATCAGTATTTCATTATGATATTTAACAAACACATTCTGATACATAAGAGTAATTAAACATAATGATGTGATGCTATTCTTATTCAATCAACTAAGGAGCTACACTCTGTCATGTTTCATAAGTACGTAGTTGTAAAAACTCTCATGTTTCACGATTTAGGTTCAATGTTTCCATCAACAGAACACAACTGCTTTTCTTAAAGAAACAGTATCCTTTCATTTAAATATAGGTATATATTTTTAATTTAATGCTGCATCTCCAGAGCAAACATAAAGGCTTAACATCTGGATGTTAATTTGAGAGCAATTAAAACTACACTCATTTATAAGTGTCCAAACATCTGCAACCAATAAACCTGTTGGCAAATAAATTTATTGCTCATTTTTAAAATGTTTAAAAATTTAATGCCATCTAAATTAAAACTAATACTTAGAGACCTTATCAGCTCTTACTACCACATGAAACAAGATATGCTACAAAATTTAAATAAGATGGAAACAGATATATGTTTAGGCTACTTTAAATCAATTTATTTGCCCATAAATTAATGTCAGCAGGATATCTTGTTAGGCTACATAGCCTTATTATAGAAGACTGGGACTCAAGCTCTTTGTATTTCAAGGTGTATTTGACCCACACTTAAAGGTTTTCTCTGATTGCAACTTCTACTGATTTAAATAAGTTTTCATTAGAAAGTCCCTGAGCATTTGTTACAGCGGAGAAAGTCTCCCCAAATTGTTGCTGGGCTTTGAGAGAAGCTCCGGATACAGACATACTAAAGATGCAAACAGACAAATTACGTTCATGTTAAGATTTTCTTGGGAAAAAATGGGCTGCAAAACTATTGTTCCATGTATGAAGTGCAGGAGGGACACAGCAAGGAAGTAAAAAAGGATACTGTATCTTTAACATAGTAAAGTCATAGCTGCTTTAAAAGCATAAAGGTTCTAAACTGAAAAAAACCCAAAACAACTGAATAAAAATAGCAAAACCTCATTTTTTTCTTGCATAGCAGTATAAAGCAGTACTGCAATTCTGTATAAAATGCCTTTTCTTTGGAAAGTACCGGGGATGCACAAAAATATTGATCATTTTATATGAAGCAGACATTCTGCACATCAATATTCATTAAACACTGTCAATGCAATGCATTAATACAGACTGTGTTCTTGCAACCACAAATTCAGCAGCAAAACTCTTACTGACTAAAGATGTTTCTGCTGATCAGCCTCCTAGAAGCCAGTATTTTCACAGCTCATTATCAGCACAATCATGGTTTTATTTTTGTGCATCGTGGACTATACAGAATTGCCGTTCCCACTGAAAGCATTGTTATGTGAAAGAAACAGAAGTCCTAAGCAGCTCACGGCCTCTTCTCCCATTGATGTGTGGGATGATTTATGTGGGTAAACTCCCATTAACATCAGTTATACAAAATCTCCTTCTATGCATCAATGAGAGCACAGCCACCTCTTCCTCCCCCTCCCACTACCTTGCATCTCTATAAATAGACTGCACAGTCTTTAAGCTCATTAGGACAGAAGCAGCAGCACAGAAACGAAATTTCTTCACAACTGTTATAAAAGGCAGAAGCATGCATAGTTCCCAGCAAAGCACTCAGTTACGCCCACATCTGCTATGTATCAGCTTGTACAAGCTCCCCACTCGCGCTTGCAAGTCCTTTTAAGAACTTCCTGATACTGGATACTTTCTACTAGGCTTGGCTAAACCTACATGCTAACCTGACATCCTTCACTTAACATTTCTTAATGATGCAAAGCTAAGGGGAGGTGTAAACTGATGGTTTGACTTTTACTGTATACCTCCTGATTGCTCTGTCCCTAGGCTTTTAAACCAATTGTCAAGGGTTTAATGTAAGGTGGCGGGAAACTACTTTGATGACCTGTTCTGGGTTTGCTCCCTAAGTAGAGCACTCAAACCTCAGCACAGGGAGATAGCCAGATGAAGTTACAACAGATGGGTGCTCTTAACGAATACACTCATCTTCACCTTCTCAAGGCAGACTTCATCGACTTTTTTATCATTTAAGAAAAATTACACCTAGAAATGAGTGAAGTAATCAAATAACATCACTGTGTGTAAAATCCATGTCTTTTTATTATACAGGGATTTTATTCCTGTTAAGAAACTTCTGTTGGTCAAACCTGCGGTCCATCAGACAAAATCTGCAGACTCCAACAGCCATACAGGCTTCTGCCAACAGAGGATATGACAGTAGATCTGCACCTGTTTATAGCAGCTGCAGATCCAAACTTCTATTCCGTACATAAATGAACACAGCAAAAGGAACCATTTTTGCTATCACCTCTAGCAAAGGAATTGTCCAAACTGTAAACCAGAATGATAATTCAAGACCTTTTATATTGCTTTTCTTAAAAAATTCTTGCTTAACCTTTTAAATCTACGTTAAAGTATTATCTCTTTCTACTAGGTTATTGACTGTTAAATTGCAGCTAAAATTTTTAGCAGTCTTTAAACCTTTAGTGTACCTTGACTGCATACAACTATCGTACAAATCAGTTACAAACAGACACACAGCAAAGTACAAAGCAGGTGTATTTCGTTCATGAGAGACACACGCATGGAAACAATTTGCGCAGCTTTTGAAAGAACTACAGGGATATTTGCAAGCCAGCTAAAAGCAAGGCAGGTAGAACATTAGTTCTAAGAATAATTTTCAGGAAACCAGACTGGATTAGGGGCAAAAACATCCACAAAGAATTATTTTTCAGCTAACTGCTAGCATGGCCTGTAGGAAACTGAAGGGAAGATCTTCCACTTTCATACTGGGGAATAAAAAGCATCATGCTGCTTCTCACACAAGTCTGTACATGAACTTAGGGCATCTTTTATCTTGTATTTTAGTTTTCTGATAGGGTGAGTGCAGCATGTGAATATACATTCACAGTTGAATTCTGTACACTGGATTATCAGCAAGGGTCAGTCAGCACTGGTTCCAAGGACTTTCCTGCTGCTTTGCGACCTCTGACCTAGCAGAGATACTTGGAAAACAAGGTCCAGACTACTCTTTTCTTGAGAAACACTCAGAAAAACACCCATCCCTGACAGCAGAACACTTTCACAGACGTCTTATTAGGGGGATAATATAAGAGGCTTCAGCAGGTCTCCCAGACTACAACAGCTCAAATAGAGGAATGGACATGATTCTTTTCTATTCTGCAGTTGACATTTCTCATCCAATTCGAAGAACCGAGCTCCAGCCCTATCACTGCTGGAAATTCTCTTCCCTCAGGTTATTTCAAACAATGAAAATCAATGCTGGATAACACATATTAAAAAAAAAAAAAAAAAAAAAGTTTAATGAACTTCCTAAGGCAATTCTTTCTGTTGGCATACAGAAAGTACGTTTGTACAAGATGCATGCAATGATGTGTGTCCCAACTTGGTTTCACTGTGTCCTTTAAAACCCATTGAATGGGTTTTGGGTTAGGACAATACACTCAGTACCACAGATGCTGTTGCCTTACTTTTATTTAGGAAATAAAAATGCAAGTATTGATATCTGCTCTCAACAGAAACACTGTTACTGGAAGTCACCTCCCCTACTCCGAGAAAAGAAATCCAGAAGAAACTCTTTCTACCCTCACTTTTGCTCTGGCCTATAGTTTTGCTGTGTGCACAACAATAACACATAAAAAAGCAAGTCAACAACCTTCTTTTTACACACATCTCATCAGGTACTTTACCAACATACAATCTTACACAGAGGTAGGCTTGTGTGGTTACTCCCACTTAACAGCTATTACTCCCACTTTTACTAATTAAAGTGCAAGTAAATCCCACAGGCTGGGCAACAACATGGGAGTTTTGGACTAATTTCAACTTGGATATATAATATCTAACTTTAAAGCACTGATGCTGTGAGTCCCTCAGTGTAAAGGATCAGCTCCACTGACGATGAGGGCACTTCACATGAACTAATAGTTGGTGCTTAAACAACATTTCTACTGCTTCCAAATTAGCTTTTCTACACACCAGGTATAACTAATGAAACTGTTTTATATACCAAACCCAAACCTCAGAAAAGTTACTAAATTACATTAATAATGAAATATATCCACAGTTCTAAATCTAGGCCACTAAATAAATGTGCATGGATTTCTAAATTACAAAGACTGAGAAACGCCAACAAATTTGAGTTACATTTGTTCAGGTCCTTTGAAAATACGGCTATAAGGGTAAAAATCTCAAAATGTATCTAGCTGCCTAAACCTTGGTCTTACTTTGGCGTTCACAACCTCCAAAAGAGAAAAAGAAAAAAAAAAATCCAACCTGTTCCAAAGTTCTTGACTATTTCAGGTGGAAGGACACCTTCTAAAAGTGCCTTTGCTGGAATTGGAAAGGGCACTGGGGAAGGGAATTTCACGTCACTGCAGAGCGAATATTTCTACTAGCTGAGATATTACAGCTGCCACTGACAGGCTTTGGAAGCAAATTTACAGACAGATCAGACCTACATGCGCAAGTCTTGATTGGTGTAATTTATTAAGAGGGGACAGAGGAGGTTGTAAAGGAAGAGTGTAAATTAAAGGAGGGGCCCTATTTCAGCTTCTTCCCACATGTTTATAAGAGCAGAAGACAGCTGAGTTATGCTGACTTGCGTTACTAAGCAGCAGTAAGCACGACTATGCTCCATGTGCACTCCTTTGTCAGTTAAAGGGACGTAAAAGGAATAACTCCACACTTCACAAAAGCAAGTTTAGCTAACACAGTTCAGTTTCCATTTGCAGCTGTATGGATGGATCATGGATGAAAGATCAGGAGCACGGAACCACCAAGGCTTAATAAATTACCAACTTGCCAGCTATGCCACACTCCTGCCCCTTTAGAGTTGACATAACACAGGCTTAAACATTTGCCACAATTAAACCTTTATCTTAAATCACACAGTTGGTTTAAACTAAAACGTTTTTGCTCAATAGCTGTGGGGAGATGGCATGCCCACATGCGTTTGGTGGAGCAGCTAAGTTGGACAAGAGAAAATATATCCAGGTATGTTAGTGATCACTTGCCCATGGCATGTACCCTGTCATGTATCAGAGCCCATATGCCTGCTACACTCTGGCTCCAGCTTGGCTCTCACCTTATACTTGTTGTCAGAAGGATAAATTCAGAGGTAATTAGTGCCCACACAGTAAATTATGCATGAGTAAGCAGGTGAGAGTCCAAAGGTGCTGTAGCACTTTCAGGCATACCAAGGATGGCTCAAACTAGTCCAAAAAAAAGCAGTCCAAGCTCACTAAAAAAGAGCTCAGCACTATTGCTGGAATATTTAAAGGTTCTTTTTTGGAGTAATTTGTGAACTGTGTCTCTCTACTAATTTTTAAGACTGACTCTATACTTGCTTTCATTGTGAAAATTCAACCTATTCTAGAAACAACAAAGAAAATGTACATCTAGTAGAGAAAGTCTAACATCTATTTATGCCACTCATTTCACAGACACAACTCAGAGGTTTGCCTTCATCCATAGAGAAAGCTGAAGAAATAACCATGTACTTGGCTTTTTGGAAAATTTTCAGTGATATTCCTTTGTACAGTTAAATACCCAAGTTTTCCTTTGAGGCCAGGAATGCTGCCTTCTGTGCCAGGGTAATCCTTCATACTGGGTGCCACATTTCCAGGTGGAGAGTTGACTACAGATTTTCTATTAGGTTGTAAGCATTAGAAAGATTCACTTTCACTTAGTGTAATCTCCCACTTCGTGATATGTCTGGAATTTTCACCACCCACAACTGGGTCAGATTTTCTTGCTTTATTTTACTAAGAGTTTGGCTCCCATTTAAAACCAAGAAGGAGCTGCCATGGTTTTAGTAAAGTTTTCACCCAGATACCTAAGTCTTTTCTGAATCAGCAATTAAAAATTATCAGCACCCAGCATGCAAAAGAAAAAGAGGAAAAAATGCCTTCAGACACTTAAGCAATAAATGCATTCTTTTGAAAGTCTGGTCCCAACTCTTGGGGATGATCACAGAAAATACACCTCTACACATCTTCTAAATGTGCATGGAAAACAAATCTGTGAATAATGGACTGAAATGCAGGGGAAGGAGGTGAGAGAATTCAGCTGGCTTTAGCCTTTAAAAAAAAAAAAAAAAAAGAGCATTTATAGCACCTGGAAAAGCTGGCACTAAAAATACTAAAAATTACCTTACTGACAAAATTCAAAGAGCAAAAAATAAAAAATACTTTCTGTGTATTATTACTTTTATTTCATTTTCAGTTTTTAGTTTATAAATCTTTTGATAGTATCACTTTATGCTATTCCTGTCTCCCAAGATCATAAAAATGCAACCAAAAATCAGAATTGGTAATAATGAGAAATCAACTTCCACCTAAACATAAGCTGCAATTTATGGTCACAACACAGGAGACAGACTTGCCCAAGAAAAGGGCCACAGTGAGACAGTGGTCTGGGCTTTTTTGGGTTTGATTTGGGTTTTTTAAACAATGCAAATTACTGATATTTGCCAGTTAAGCCCCCATAGCCTCAAACATTTTAATGCCCAGTAGTCTTCACATAAATCTGCATTATGAAAGGTGGGAATAGATTGTTGTCTCTGGAGTAGCCTCAATCAATCTTCTACTCCTTGTCCTTCCTTCTTTATAAATACTCACCTCAAGGAAAGGACTACCTGTTACCAATTAGGGACCTAAAAATCAAAATGATCCATGGTATGGCCAGAGGTATAAGCCTGAGAATTCTGCATCAAAGAAATAGTATGAGGGATCTTATGTTCCAGAAGTACCATACATAGTGTTTTACATGTAATCTTATATACGTATTAAACATTGTGGGCTTTTAACATATTTGGGAAGGAAGAAGCCAGTCTTGCTGTTTACAGATTTGAACAAAACCTTTGCTGAGAGTTGCATTGCTGATGCTGTATCTATCTTTTGCCTAATATTTGCCACCTGCAGTCACTGCCCTGCAGACTAAGCAACTTAAGCATTTAACACCTGTTTTCCTTTAAAAATGGCTTGGCAGAAAATAATCTAGTCTGCATATGTTCGTACCTAAATAAAAAAAAAAACTAAGGACCAGTGTCTATAGGTTTGCTCCTGAATAAATTTCAGGGATGTCACTCATGTAGGCATTGTTAAACACATGAGAGAGTGTTCCCAGCATCAAAGGCTGTAATTTTAACAAGCTGAGGTCTCAATAACACTCCTAGCAATTTTAACTTCTACACAGTACTAGCTGCCACCACAAAATACCTTTTGAAGATGTAGTTAATGATGAAGACTTATCTACTTGTTTATCCCACTATTATATCAAAGATTCTAAATAGATGAAAGAATCTCAGAGATGTTCCTCTTCACGTGTGACCCAGTAAAAGGATGCTGTCAGGCAGATTTACTCCCTTAGTCTGGGGGTTAATAAAAGTATGTTTGAACTTAATACTAATTGGAACATCAATTTTCTAAGTGAAATATCAGTAATTTGGGTTTCCTTCTTGGAAGCAAATACTCTTGCCCCACAGTGCTTGTAACATGACACAGCATAGTTACATCAGGTTATCGGATCAGAGCACGAAATGAAGTGGAAACCAAACCAAAATTCCCAAATTGTCATTACCCTAACTCAAGTTCACCTTACTTGATCGCAGTCATTTTTAGTACTGTTGAAAACAAAGAGAATCTCAACGTGACAACATCCTTCTAAGTAAGTCAGACTCACACATGCAAAAGCCTAAGCCCTGCGTTGTAAGAATGTGTGTGAACATGTGAAAGACGTGACTAGGTGTGTCCAAGCCTTTTCTACAAGTGACTAGAAGCCCCAGCAGCAATGATACTCACGCTGGCATTGTCCCCAGGACACTCGGGCCCAGCCCCAGCAGCAGTCAATTCTGCTTCCAAACCGACAGAGTCCAGCAGAGGAGACCATGTGTCTGGGCCACCTGAACAACACAGTTCAAAAAAAAGTCTGGTGAAACATTTTGAAACTAGCTAAAATCATCCTAGAGTAAAAAAAACAAACAAACAAACAACAACAACAAAAAACACTAAGAAACAAAAACAAACCAACAAACCAAACAAAACAACTAACCAATCAAACAAATAAAGACAATGACCAGCAACAACCTCTCCTGAATAATTTTATTTTTAAAAAAAGTAACTGCTCAGTAGAGCTGAGAAGATAATATTTCTATTATTAATACTTTGTTTAGTTCAAAAAATGTAAATTACTACAGGTGAAGAGGGGAAAAGACAATTAGAGTAACTCAGCAAAGCTGAAAAAACATGCTTTCCAGTATGCTCACTGCTGCCACTCCCAGGCTGGCATTAAACAGATTGAGAAGTCTGAAACAGAGTTTTTAATATGGAATAAACACCATCATAAAGTTTCGGCATTTCGGTTTATTTCACAATATACAGCCAAATTTTCCGACTGATATGGCCAAATTTTCTCACTGGAGCGTTATGGGGAAAAATCAAAACAAAAGCATCCAGGACAGTTAAGTAGGAATCAAATACAAAGGAAGAGCTGTAGTCTTCCCTCGTCCCAAGGAAATGATACCACGGCTTCAAGCAGTTCTAAAATATTGACACGAATCAGTAATGTTTCTTAACGACAAGCTGAAACCCTGTGGGCGCTGCACTTGAACAGATCCTAAGAAAGAAAACCCTGGAGAGAGAGGGGGTCGCTCTGGCCGATTCCCACGCACACGGCAGCGTCCGCTCCCCTCAGCGCCGCCGATCGCGACACCTGTCACGACACGGCGAGGCCCGGCGGGCACGCGCGCCCCGAACTTCGTGTTAAAACTTGAGTCGCGATCTTCGCCGTCGTCTGCCGCAAGTGCCTCCCGGCGTCAATATGCTATTTTTACCTTTACAGCACGCGAAGCGCTCTGTTTTTCGATTCGTGCAGGACGCGGCCCTGCCGACGCAATAAACTTTTTTTTTTTACACCTAAGCCCGAGTTCAGGCTGCCGAGCAACGCGCGGCACTCGCCGAGGACGGGGGGGCCGAGAGAGCCTGCCCTGGGGAGCCCCGGGAGCGGCGCCGCCGGCACCGCACCTCCACCGCGGTACCTCTTCCCGGCCGTGGGGGAACGGGAGCGCCAGGACACGTCCCGCCGAGGGCTCCGCGGGGGGCCGGTGCCAGGCAGGAGCCCGAGGGCCATCACAGCGCCCGCCGTCGAACCCCCCCCGCCTGCCTGTCCGGGAAGGAGCCCGGGCTCCCTCCGCTCTCTCCGCGGGGGCTCCGACCTGGCCGAGGAAACACTGGCTTCTCTCCCTGCCCGGCCGGTCCCGGCCGCCGCCGCCGCCCCAGCTCGCCCCGCGCCTACCTTCTGTCAAACTCGCCGGCCGCCCCAAGGGAGAGGCAGGACGCCAGGAGCAGCCTCAGGGAGAGCTCCATGGCCCGGCGGGCGGCTCCGCTGGCCGCCCAGGCGGCCCCGGGGCGGGCGGCGGTGGCCGGGGCGCTCCCGCTGCCGGGCGGACGGGGGTACGGCTGCCGCCCACGCCGGTGAGCTGCCACGGCTCCGGGGCGGCGGCGGCAGCTCCGCGCTCCCCCTCTCGCTCTCCCTGCCTGCCCGCCCGCCCGCCTGGCTGCCGGGCGGAGGAGGCGCCGCACGGGGAGCGGCAGCGCCGCCCGCCTCCGGCAGAGGCGCCCGCGGCCGGGCCGCCCTCCCGCCGAGGGGCACCTGGAGACACCTGGGGCAGGAGGCAGCGGGAAGGAGCTCCCCGCGAGGCAAAAAATCCACACTCTGAGAGCGCTAAGGGGTGGGCTTTGTTATTATACTCTTTTCTGGCTTGAACTTCCTGAAGTAGGAGGGCAGCTACGCCCTCCTCTTTGCAAGCAAAGTTCCCCATCTGAAGTCGAGAGCGTTAAGATCTGGTCGTCTTCTAACCAACCAAATTTCCCTCAAAACAAAGCTTTTGGAAAGAATTACAAGGTGTATGGGGGGGGGGGGTGTTTCTGGCTCAAACACTCCTATTACACAGCTCTCAGGTGTTGGCATGTGCAACATTAGGTGTGCCAACCCCTGTCCAGAAGAAAAAGTGACAAGTTTAAACACTAAGCACACAATGTGTAAGGACATCCTCACACCACTACGAACAGCAACGACTGCATCTGTACTCTACATTAACCTGTTAAAATACAGACTTTATTTTTGTTTGGTTTCTATGAATTACCGTTCTCGGGACTTACCAAGGCACACTTTTAATAACAGCCTGTCACCAGTTTAGGGTCAGAGCTGCTCTGAGATCCCAGATTATAGACAGATAGGGTCAGCAATCTGGGTTGCAGAATTGGTTTTGATTTGTGCCTAAATCAAGGCTTAAGCTTATCAGCTGTTCCTACAAGAGTCTGGCAGTAGCTTAGAAGCAGAAAACAAAGATCTTCTCTGGATTGTGTTGTAGCACAATGCCAAACCCTTGAGGAAGCATTTGGATGCCAAACGCAGCTTAAAGCTTCAGATTTGAGCTGGTTGTTCTGTACAGAACATTTTCCACCTTCAGAACACTTCAGAGATGATTCAAGCAACACTGTGCAAAGGTAACCACTTTTTGCACAAAATACAAATTGTGCCAATAAGCTTTCAAAAGTTATACCCTCCCCAGAGTGGTTTTACCACTTTTTACTCACATTTGACCAGAAAGCCCCCTCCAGTGCTCCTTCCCCTCCTTTTGTCATCTTTTCATGACCATATGATCCCATGCTAAGTTTTCTGTCCACTGCCTCAATGTGAACTTTTCAGACACAGAGAAAAAAAACAATTGTAAAAGCTACAAGGTGATGATTCTGCAAGGTGCTTAATACCTATTCTCAGATAACAAGCAAGCAGTAAGCCCCCTTGAAGGACTCAAGGAGATATAAAAACTACACTGAGGACCAAACTTGGTTCCTTTCATTCACATGAGAAGCTGACAGTCAAACAGTGAAGGCAACAACACAGTACCACTTGGGAAAGACATAAGAGCATCTGGGTCATATTAGATCCTTGTTGAAATATAGAGCTGATTTCCAGCTCTTGACTTATCACTCTTTTTTCACTTGTTTGTGTGATGTGGTAAAACAGACCATACATAATGAAATCACTGTCAAGATTTAACAGGCAAAAGGGGAGGAATCGTATTGGTGATAACCACAAGGATTTCTTTCTGGTAACAGCATCTGCCTGCCTTTCTCCATTGTAGAAAAAAAGTGTCCACAAATTACACCACAGCCAAGTTCACAGCGAGTGCCAAAAGCAACATCACTGTGAATTAAGGTCTAGGGCAACGTGACACTTTACCTCTGATGTCCATCTCATAGAGTTAATTCTTTTCATGCAGTGCTGCATAAATGGTACTTAATGTACACAGCAACTTTAAAGCACACACTACCTCTTTAAAGCATGTACACTCACAAATAACAGTAACATCACTTAATCTCTCCAGACTGCACTATTTAAGATTTCCTCAGCAGTCTGTTTGGCAGTCCTGTATGTTAATACTAATGTGCTGCTCAGATGTGGTGCCTACTGCAATTAAGGTTGTCTGCTCTTGGTTAACTTTTGCTGCCTCCACAATTTGTTTTGGAACATAAGCCTGAAAAAAACAGTTAACCACTCACTGAAAGATCATGCACTGCACTTCCATACCCATCAGTGGGACTGAACATCCAGTCATTTATGAATTCATTTGCTTTGGCAATAATTTATCAATTCTAATGGAGTTTTCTTAGCAGGGCAGTTTCTCACATCCATGACAGTAGAAGGATTACTGAGTGAGCTGTCAGAGAACCGAATCTCTTGGCAAGTTAAAGGTGTATAAAGTTGTGTGGGTGTACATCAAGGTACTATACAGAAGATGGAGAAGTTGTTGGCAGTATTACTAGGAGTACTTTCGTGCCTTGTGTTTAGTGAAGCAGTATGAAAGTCTGGAAAAATGTTGAAGCAATAGGGTGGTCTGTCCTGATGTTCAGCAAGACTTATCTCACAGTAGTATAAGTCCACAAGCTGTGCATCAAATGCTCAGATGGATGAGCAGAACAAGTGTCCATGAAAGCTTTTTCAAAGGTACTGATAAGACACTTGATTGAGCACAACGTGATAGTCAGCGTTTTAGCTGCAAATTAGCAGCAATGAAACAGAAACACAGAGGAAGGCAGTATTTTGTACAGCAATGCTGCTACTCTTGTGCATAAAAAAAGGTCAAAACACATAGAAAAGTAAATTTTTACTGAAAAGGTGTTCATTTTATGCAACCATAGTGATCCTTCCTGCTTATTTTACTCTTCTTCATTTCCCAGTAAAGATCTCTACATACTTTGTAACAAAGAAGCCACAGTATCAGCCACAATCCTTGTCTCACTTTCAGTCTCGTGGATGTATTGAGCTCAGGTTGAGACCCTTCTATGCATATCAAGACCTAAATTTGTAAAGATACGCTGTGTTAAGAACAGAGAAAGAGTCTAGAATACTTGCAGCTGAAACTACTTGCAGCTGACCATGCCATTAGCAAGCCCATTAGGTTCTGAATTATCTATAATTTCCCAGGGGGTGATGTCAGAGGTGTATATTCTATTGCTGTTATTCTACACCGTAAGTGATACAGGCACATGTGGCAGCACACAAAACTGAATTTTGGTGATAAGGTGGCAGAGGGTGAAGAAATGCCAGTTCTAATGAAGTGAAGCTTACCTATAGTTTTCTCCAGTGACACAAACCCTTCTTGTATGCATGAGATCTGTTCCTCTTGAACAACACTACTTACTTTTACTTCACATGGGGTAGACTGTGCCCAGCGGTCTCAAGTGTTTCAAGCTTCAGCTGCAGGGCTAAGTACAGGTTTTTAAAAGCTCTTTGTTGCTATAACCATTCCCAAGAGGGAAAACGAACAGAACAAAAGCAGTTTCTGGAATACTCCCTGGCATCAACTGGGTAGGCAGCATTAAAAAAACAAGACCTGAAAAGATACAAGTGGTAGATATATTAGGCTGACAGATATTGGTAAATACAGTAGATGATAGAATATGGTAGATATGACAGAAATCACACAGAAACAACTTTAAAATTTATCTTCCTTGTTTCAGGCAGCTGTGAATTGGACAAACACACAGAAGACATTGTTTTCAGGATATTCTACTGCCAAGTAACTTTTCTTTGAGGGAGGCATTAAATGAGTAACTTCTTTCAAATCCACTTTTCTCCTTGTTGTCCTAAAACACAATATGAATATTAATAAATTAAGTCCTCTATTCAGCAGATTCAGGCAATGCTTTGTGTAACACTCTCATTTACATAAACAGAAATTAAGGAACAGAAAATTACTTTTCCACAAATCAAATAATCTGTCATCAAACTAGGAACAGATCTCCCGTTTTCCAATTTCATACTTAAACCACAAATCCATCCTTCCTCCCTTCTAAGTATTTCACCCTCACTGAGGCTAAGAAAGTTAACCACAAATCCCACACTACTTCAAGTCACTAAATCACACTATGACATGTGTAGAAAACACTTGATTTGTAGTTAATGGCAAGCATGATCATAGTCTGCATTTGTGCTGCTCAAGTAACATGTATACTTGCTGCAAAATGGAACAGAAGAAAAGAATCCAAGTCCAAATTATCTATGAGACTCTCAATGTCATTACTTTTTCTCTGGGGTTATGCAATTCTGTTTTTCAACCAGCTTTATATGTGGTATATTTCTAAGTAGTATTTATATGGTAAATATTATCTCTGTCATATGCTAGGTAAAAATCTCTCAGTCTCATGCTAATAAGAAAACTATGAGGCATCAAGAAAGCACAGCAATCCAATCAGCTAAATCAAACTGACCTCTGTGAAACTAGCAATTTATACCAAAAGAGTTTTCGTATGTTTTAAGTAAAAACAAACAAACAAACAAACAAACAAAAATCTCTCATAGAAATCTGGTATAGCAATAGTCACATAAAGCATGCGACTGGTATGATGATAAGTAAGTACACAGATACCTGCTTGGGAGTCTTTTAATGCCTTTCAGCATCACAAATTTTGTTTGTGGTTTTCATTAGGTAGGATTTGAGAGACAAAGTTGTGCATGAACTTCACGTCTTCAGAATACACTGTGAGAGACATGAGGATACAAAAGGTTTAAGATGGATTTAAGTGCTCAATATGAAAGGAAATTAAGCAGTTCCGGGGTTGTCTACAGGTTTTGGTAGACAGTTACTGATTCTTCTATATTCTGCTGAAACAGTGCAGTAGCATTCAATTTTACTTCGTTTTATGTTCTTTCTGAAGCTATATATTCAAACCCAATAAGTACAACTAACACTTTTGAAGACTTTTATGTGTTTTATGGATATCTTTTGAGATGAGAAAATAACTATTGTGCTTGTTTTAAAATGTAACTCAAGACGTTCCTGAAGTGTTGGAATAAATCACAATTCTCCTGAACTGTGATTTTCATAAGGCAGAGAAAAATAACAGGTCTAGACTGGGAGCACC